GGGGGGGTATGGTTTGAATTCTGAGGCCCCTCGCATGACGTTCCCCGGGAGGCCCTCAACCCCCCAGTCCGACCCTGCACACACACACACACACTCACACTCACACACTTAGCATCCAGATGGCCGAGCTGCCAGTAAGGATTTCGCCGGCCACGCGTCCTCAGACTATCGCCTCCCAAAACCTTCCTCTCCGCGGCGTTTTCCCCTACTTTTTTAAAAATATCTTTTTTATCCTCCCCCTCTCCTTGATCCGCACGCTGCCCTCCTCATCCGCTCCGCCTAAATAAAAAATGTATAAAAAAAAAAAGAATGGGCAAAACCTCAGGCGTGGCGCGCGCGCGGGCTATACCGTACCTGGCCGGGCTCTCGCTGCCCCGCGGTGTGCCCCGCGCCGAGCAGCTGTCCTGTCCTCGCGCGCCGAGGTCCGCGTGCATACATTAAATATGCCGGCTGCCGCCATGCTGCCACCCGAACCCCACCTCGCCCCGCCCCGCCCCGCCGAGCTTTTTGCATACATGTCTCTTTTATGTGTTTTTTGGAAGATCCGGGGACGGACGGCCAGCCCAGGGCCACGCCGAGCAGCAGCAGCAGCAGCAGCAGCAGCAGCAGCAGCAGCAGCAGCAGCAGCAGCAGCAGCAGCAAGGGATGGGATTTTTATTCCGTCCCTTTGACGGTCACGGCGCGGCGCGCGGATTCGCAGCCGCTCCTGGCGCGCGCGCGCGTCCGCGCTAAAAAATGCAGTGCGTCGCGCGGCGCTCGCGCGCGCGTGGTGTGTGTCCACGAGCCGAGGAGAGGACGGAGGACGCTCCCCTCTCCTTCACTCCACCTCCAAACACACACACACACCTCCTCCATAGCTGGTCAGGTGGCGGGCGGCCGCCGCGCGTCGCGGCCAGCAGGACCGTCACACCGAAAATATAAAAGGAACCGCTCTCGCTGTAGGTCGGTACAGGTATGTAATGTGTGCTCATGGGCATTTAATCGAACATATACCAGGTGGCTGATTCACGCCGCGCACTTCTGTAGTTAGACTGTACCGCACGCACGAGTGCGGGCGGGTTGCCTATTCGCCCGGCCCGTAAGGCGCCGTGCACAGGGGCGATAGGCTAGCCCGCCCGCACGCCTGCGTGCAATTCAAAGGGGTGAGGGAATTACTACCACACACCTCTTTATGTAAAATACGTATTGCGTGAGCAAAATCCCACAAAACGCATAAGCACACTGGAAATCAAATTTTTGTGTAAAGTTACGTCAAGTAATTTTTGGAAGGACGACATATATATTTTTTTCATTCTTTTTTTACAGTTACCAGTTTGTGAACAACATTGGAAAACGTTTACAAACTGACACGGACCAATTTAGTATTTCGTATGGCTCTTAAGTGAAGTGAGTACAGAGAAATCGAAGCGAAAACAAAAGGAGTGCGGTTGGCTGGCAGGTGAGGCCAAGTGTGTGTCCTGTCCACCCCGGCGTGTCTACCCGAGCCGCGCCACTACTGGCGGGCTGGTCAGCGCGTGGTGGAGGGCGAGAGGGGTGGCCTTTGACGGGGTGGGGCCGTGCGGCCACCGCGGCCGCCCTTTAGGGAAAGGGGGCGGATACACACACACACACACACACGCTCTCTGCCTCTCTCTCTCTCTCTCTCTCTCTCTCTCTCTCTCTCTCACTCACTCACACACACACACACGCGCGCGTGCTGAGAGCTCCTCCTCCTCGCGGCCGGACCCTCCTGTTCGTCCTCACGGTCCCCCTCTCCTCTCCTTCTCTCCCCCTCTTATCCGCCTCTCTCCCCTTCGCCCTCCGTGTGTTTCTTCTTTTCCCCGTGTGTTTTTTTCACAATAAAAAAACACCGGCTGCATCCCTGGCGTTTCCGCGCGTGCGCGCGCACGCGGTAGCCAGGGGTGTGTGTTTTTTACCTCACGACGACCTCTCTGCGAATAGCGACACTTTGGCTCTGGCGCGTCGCGAGTTCAGAGAGTGTGTGTTGGAGAGAGAGAGAAAGAGAGAGAGAGAGAAAGAGAGAGAGAGAGAGAGAGAGAGAGAGAGAGGGGGGGG